TTGCCGAGAGAGGTCGCTGAACTCTGTGAGCGCATCGTACATCAGTCCCAGATTGCTGACAAACGTTGCAGATGTGAGCACATCATCCAGGCCCTTGTACTTTGCTCTGTCTCTGGAATCCCTGCTCGTGTCGTTTGCAGCATTTGTGAAGTGATCATGAAGCACTCGGTAGTTTTCCCAGACTGCTCTGACGCTCCTTTCACTTGAAGCCACCCAGCGGATGGACAAAACACGCCCTATCACCAGGAGACTCTGTCCGACTGCTTGGCACACTGCGCTAACTGCCTCTGATTTTTGGGGGAGGCATGGAACAAGGAATAGAGTTTGTCAAAAAATATCTGGAAATGATTGAGCCCTGAGACCTCCTTGACCACATCCCCAACTGCCAGCTCTAGACGATGATTGGAGCAGTGCCACACAAACAGGCTTGGGAATTACTACACAACTGGGTAGCAACGCCTGTTCTCTTCCCTAGCATGACTGAAGCCCCATCACATGCAAAAGAAACGAAACACTGACCTAAAAAGTCCTCGTTAAAATCTCTTCCAAGACACTCCATTAACGCCTTTGTGATGTCATCAGCCGTTGTTCCATCCAACTCGATCAGCTCCCAAAAAAACGTTTCGGGCTCAGCATCAGCTAATGCTGAGCGTAGACACACAACAAGCACCGTTTTACCACTAATAGTGGTAGATGCATCGACCAAAACACAGAGTTTTCTTTGGTTTTCTGTAATGTCTTTTGCCATTTTTTTCTTCAGCTCATGAGCTATGTGGTCGATGATTTCGCCACAGGTTTTATTGGATTGCAAAACCCTGCCCACGTTCAGCCCATTCAGTTTCTGTACATTCAAATCAATTGGCATGTCTGTGAATGGCCGGCTATGTTTGCCAATTTTATATGCCGTTCGAAAAACTCTGATAGTGGTGTCTAATTCAGATGTATGCATAGACTGCACTTGATGTTGAATAGTTTCACGTGAAGCAGATGTAAGGATGTCAGCAGCTTTTACATGGGCTTGTGATTCTTTATGTTATTTGATTTTTTTTCTCAGGCTAGCTTGTTGTTTGCCCTTGTCAACACCGACATGAGACACTGCACACTCACCCCATTCAGTTGACAGTTTCAGTCCTTGTCCAGTGTGTATTCCCAAAGATTTGACATCTCTGCATATCCGACATCCTAGCTTCTTATCTTTAAGAAGGAGCCATGCATTGGTCTTGCAAAAATATTGCACCTGGTCCGTTGTCCAGCAGTCAGGTGCATCGCTTTGCCCGGTGTTGGTGGTGGCAGTTGCGCCAGCAGCAGCAGCTAACGTTAGAGGCTCTGGAGGAGGCGGCGGAGCTAGTGCTAATGCTAATGCACTAGAACTTGGAGCAGGAGGATCAACCAAAGAAAGCTCCCCATCAGACACAATTTCCAACACAGGCACAGCATTCTCTGTATTTGAAGTTTCTTCCGGCGACAACCGCTGTCTTTTTGCACTTTTATTAATCCAAGCTAACATTTTAGAAATGCTAATTTGTGACGTGACTTGCTTTCCTTCTCTCGGGGGCGTGCCTGCTCTGTTCTATCACTCTACATAGCCACCCACTGGGTGGGAGTTGCACTGCATAAACACAACACACGTGCATCTAGGTATGTAAATTGTAAAGCATTAAAACATGGTTTTACTAACAGCTTTCAGTATGTTGTTACTTCGGCATTATTATTATTATTATTATTATTATTATTTTGAAACGTGTATTACTATTAAATCACGGTCAAATAGGTTAATTTTGACATAGTCGTTTCCACCACAGTATTTACATGGAGAAGATAAGCCCCGCCTCCTCTCCAGCACGTTCTGTTTGAATGACAGGAGTAAACAGCTGACAGCCGCTGTGAAACTCCAGCGGTTAGAGCGATGAGAATGTCCGTTCGGCACCTCATGACGCATCTACTGAGTACCGGGCGGCTGTATATATATATATGGATGTATAATAAGAACGGCGGGAGAGTGTTGAGTACTGGCACGGTGCATGAGTACCGGAGTACCCGCCAGCATGCCGGTACTGAGCAAGAAGTGCCGGTACTCCATGGGTCAGAACCAGAAGTGCCGGTACTGCGTACCGGTGAGTACCGGCCCAATTCCAGCACTGGCGCCACCAGGGATTTTGGACCCCATGAAAAGACATCACATTGGGCCCCACCACCAGACACAGGCCACGCCAACCAAGCACAATTGCTGTAACCACACCTCCAGAACCCAACCGACTCATTTATGCTTTAAATAACTACCTGTACAGGCTTGCATCTATCTTGTAGTCCAATACTAACTGCACAATATTTACTGACACTGAGCTGTGAAGATATAACACTGTGCAGACTGCAAATTCTACTGCAACATTCTGCTGCAGCAGAATTCACTATTTGATATAACACTAACATTCCTGACAATAGATCTCAATAGTCATCTTTTATGGTGTACATGCCTTTTTAATAACATTTTTGAATGGAACATTCATAAATCAAAATAAATATAACTTAAATATACATGACCATGTCCTTGAAGTCATCACATTGGGCCCCACCACCAGACACAGGCCACGCCAACCAAGCACAATTGCTGTAACCACACCTCCAGAACCCAACCGACTCATTTATGCTTTAAATAACTACCTGTACAGGCTTGCATCTATCTTGTAGTCCAATACTAACTGCACAATATTTACTGACACTGAGCTGTGAAGATATAACACTGTGCAGACTGCAAATTCTACTGCAACATTCTGCTGCAGCAGAATTCACTATTTGATATAACACTAACATTCCTGACAATAGATCTCAATAGTCATCTTTTATGGTGTACATGCCTTTTTAATAACATTTTTGAATGGAACATTCATAAATCAAAATAAATATAACTTAAATATACATGACCATGTCCTTGAAGTCCAGCTTTCTAGCCAACTGGCTTTCAATGGACAGCATGGCAAGACTGCAAAGCCTTATGGGGGGACAGGGCTGCTGAGCCTAAAGATGGATCTGTTGGTCCTGGCACCAGGGGGAGGGACAACTGGTTTAGTATGAATAGCTGCTAAAAATGTACCTGCATTTATTAAATGTCAGCTAAAAGAGGAGTGAAATGAAAAACCTCAGCATTTTCTGTGAAGATATTAACAGTACTTAATAGTAGTAGTACACATGCCCTTTCAATCACATTAGTATGCAAGAAAAGTGACAGGTGGTGTGACAGGTCACACCTCTCCCTACTTATGTTAATGAGCTAAGTCCCGCCTCCCTTTGTTCGCGGTGGATGTCCCACCTAGGTGTGAATTCACACGTAGGTATGAGATCCTTTGATGTGAGGGGTGAGGTATCATCACACGTAGGTGTGAAATGCCCCCCTGTGTAGTGCCTTTGTTAGAGATCCTTTTGTGTCATGTGAAAAGCCCCGGGCTAGCGCCTTTGTTGTCTAATTCTTTGATGTGTTGATTAAGTCTCTTTGTGCTGTCTGGCCCCTGTCCCCTCAGAGTTGTATAATCTAATTATGAAGTCTAGTCCTTTGACGGGAGGTGTTATAACAGGCCGGTGTGACTTCACACCGGTGTGTTATAAGCCTCTGATGTTAATTTAGGTGTTGATTAAAGCAGTCTCTTTATGCTGTCTGGCCCCTGTCCCCTCAGAGTTGTATAATCTAATTATGAAGTCTAATCTATGAGGTGTTATAACACACCGGTGTGACTTCACACCGGTGTGTTATAAACCTCTGATGTTAATTTAGGTGTCTCTTGAAGTTAGGTGAGACTGTCTACCAGCCCCCTCCTAGCCTCTCCCCCCTTCCGGGCTATGACGCAGGCAGATAGTGGGGGGTGGAATTAGGTAGAAATATGCGCAAACTAAATAAAAAGACAGCAATTCCATTTACCCAGTCACCTTTTCAAAAAAGAAAAATGGCCAAGAGACGCCTCGAATGGGGGTTAATCAGTCAGCTTACCGCATCCGTCCGGAGCGTCAGTCAAGAAAACGAATGCATCAGCAGCAATGCGGGGGTCTGTGCACAAACTTATCTCGCGCCCTCTTTTGGTCATGCGCGCGTTCATGTGTGTTGGAGGAGGGGCTCTGTGAGGAAGTGACAGATTTTCCCCGGTTTGACTGCAAATTCTCCAAATTATCTAACCCTTACCTTTAAGAACAATTCACACACACACACACACACACACACACACACACACACACACACACACACACACACACACACACACACACACACACACACACACAACCATATGTTAATTAAGACACTCTCTGTGAGTTAGTTTTAAAAAAAGAAATAAACTCAAATTAAATAAAAACAGCCATTAATTTTCACTCACCAAGACATCTAAAACGTTATTATCCTCTCTAGATTTGATTCAGGGTTTGTTTTAAATGGTGTGTGCTGGCTAAGGATGTTTCTTTTCAAGTTTTTGTGAAACTGTTAAAGAAGTATCTGTTTTGCAAAGAGGTTATTTTCAAAAGATCTTATTTAGTTTTTTAATAGTGATACCTAAGGATATTCTCTTTTAGTTGTATGGATTTGTGAACTAATGTGTAATTACCTTTTATTAACTATAAGAAAAGTCTCTCTGAAGACGGAAATAATAAAACAAATTAAAAACATGATATTGTCTTTTTAATCATTATTTTACACCACTGTAAGGAAACCCCATATGAGGTGGTAATATCAGAACTCTGCTGTATCCATAAAAGAGAAGTTTTCTAAATGTGTTTCCTATTCACTCCATGACGGCTCCAGGGTGGCTGATCAGAACAAAATAAAGGCTGTAAACACTTAAAATACTCCATCAACAGTCTGAGGGTAAATTTAAATAGTCATTTCTGGGGGGGCAGAAAGACGCATAGCTAATTACCTGGATAAAAGGACTGGTCAGTTTCTTTTTGAGGGGTGACAAGGCTCTGTTATTTGATGGTCTATATAAGGCGACAAAATATTTACAGTTAGAGAAAAACAAGGGATGAATTACCCTGCCATTCCAGCTCAGCGCTTTATTGACCTGGATGCCATCACATGCCAATGTGGTAAGTACTTATTTTATAATATCATGTATTTATTAAATGTTGTTTATATATATATATATATATATATATATATATATATATATATATATATATATATATAGTATATTATTAGATACTTAAAAAAAACATTATGTCCTTCTGTTTGCAGTAGAGATCCTGTGTGCTGGAAATCCTAATGTGTGGGGTCATAGGGTTATTGAAATACTAGGTGAGTTTCTTTTTACTTCTTTTTAAACATGTTTTTAATTAGAAAAGTATAGAGCAATATGGTGTGGATTATAATCAAATCTTTCTGTGTCTCTCAGCTCAGGATACTCTGAGTCAGCTAAGGCCATTAGTATTGGAACGAATATGCTCTGTACTTGGAGCCTACCTTAATTCACCCCCTGTGGAAAGTGAGTATATTTAAACTGATTGTATTTTTATTTTGAAATCAAATAAGGTTTTTATGTGCAAAGTATCCCGAATAACGTTTTTTTACTCTTTTGTTTTTAAAGGTGACGAAGTCTATAGCACAGACAGAGGCTCTGTGTATCAAAACTTTTTCCCCAAGGAGTTCATACACAACCCACCCTTTGAGGTAACTGCAGACCCCTGGGGGCCAGCCGTCTCCCTCCCCCGGGACTCAGATAACCAGACAGACACCCCCCTTTTCAACGCTACCCAGCAGCAGCAGCAGCAGCAGCAGCAACAGCAGCAGCAGCAGCAGCAGCAGCAGCAGCAGCAGCAGCAGCAGCAGCAGCAGCAGCAGCAGCAGCAGCAGCAGCAGCAGCAGCCTATATCTGAAACCTTCCTACAAATTCCACCAGAACTGCAGGCCGATTTTGACACTTGCAGTGCCTATCTGGACGACTTTGAGTTGCACCCCGTTCAAGACACACTCCTAACGAGTCAGACAGACTCACCCCCTAGTCCTCGGGTCGAGGGTGAACCATCAGCACAGAATATTCGAGGTGTCTAACTTCAAGAGACACCTAAATTAATATCAGAGGTTTATAACACACCGGTGTGAAGTCCCACCGGTGTGTTATAACACCTCATAGATTAGACTTCATAATTAGATTATACAACTCTGAGGGGACAGGGGCCAGACAGCATAAAGAGACTGCTTTAATCAACACCTAAATTAACATCAGCGGCTTATAACACACCGGTGTGAAGTCACACCGGCCTGTTATAACACCTCCCGTCAAAGGACTAGACTTCATAATTAGATTATACAACTCTGAGGGGACAGGGGCCAGACAGCACAAAGAGACTTAATCAACACATCAAATAATTAGACAACAAAGGCGCTAGCCCGGGGCTTTTCACATGACACAAAAGGATCTCTAACAAAGGCACTACACAGGGGGGCATTTCACACCTACGTGTGATGATACCTCACCCCTCACATCAAAGGATCTCACACCTAGGTGGGACATCGACCGCGAACAAAGGGAGGCGGGATTTAGCTCATTAACATAAGTAGGCAGAGGTGTGACCTGTCACCCCACCTGTCACTTTTCTTGCATACTAATGTGATTGAAAGGGCATGTGTACTACTACTCTTAATGTCAGCAAAACATTACAATTATTATTTACAATGGACTAAGCTTAGCTAACAGACCCTAACAGACTAATTTCCACCACTCATGGACCACACCCATCTTTTCTTTTGAAAAACTGGGTGACATACTGTCGCCCTTTAGTCCCTCTCTCTTGTCTTTCTCTCCTTTATTTTCTTTTTTGAAAGCCTGACTTTGTTAGTCGTTGAGACATCGTACACACGTAAGTACTAGCATCCCTCCTCACATGCTCTCACTCACTGCAGTGCCGCACAGCGTTTGAAGGCAGGACCAAACCATTACATGTAAATAGAAGGGGGTGTACAGAGGCTTTGGATAATTAACTTTTGGAACAGAAGAAAAGTGAAATGAATCGTAAGTTTAGTGAGTACATTATCAATTTAACATTATATTAATGTTAATTGTTGATGATTGATGAAAGGTTACTTAACATTTTTTTCTTAATGTTCTAAAAATGTTTGGGGCCCCTGTCAGTCACGGGCCCTTAGAATCGTCCTAACTTTTCACCCCCTTACGGCACCCCTGCTCCCACATACAGCTAAAACTGTTTTTTTAATGGAAAGAAAATGAAGCTGCCATTAAAATGTCAATAACATATCTTCATCTTATTGCTGTGATATATTTTGTTGTTAATTCTGTTATATTGATCTTATAGTCTTGTTGATTGAATCATCACAGCCAAACAAGTTTTCTTCCAACTCACTGCTGAGTTGATCAAACTGTTGGCAACAAATACTTTTTTCTCACGGTTGATGGAAGACACTGTAAACTGAATGAAATGTCAAGGTACTAACAGTCATATGGTTTAAATGTGGCCCTTTGACTGTAACGCCATAAAACATCCTCAAAAAGAGATTGTCAGGAAGTAAGGTTCTTGGGATTTCACCCAGGAGGGTACTGGGAAAAATTGGAAAAGTGACATTCAGTGAAATAAATTCTCAGCTGACTCAAACAAATGCAGGAAGACATTTTAAAGGTCAAACTAAGGGTTCTTGTGATGAGACGTCGTATCCAGGGGGTTTGAGCACTCGCATGTTGTGAATTGGATCATGCCCTTGAGCAATTGTACTCAAGAAAAATGTAGTTTTATTAACTTTCTAAAGACGGAATCAAATTATTCTTGTTTTATTTTCTACACTTTTTGGTCCCATTGTCACCAGCACAGGACAGTTAACATACCACCTGCAGCTCACACCTATATGTCAACCTGACCATATGTGGGCTTCAAATTACTAGGTTTACTGTTAGCCTTCAATCACATCATCTAAGTCCAGAAGACCTTAACAACTGTTATTGTCCTCAATACAAAGACAAACCTAGTGATTTACCAAGGCAGAAGACAGCTTCAGTTTATTTCTAAGTGCTGGTGTATGCATGTTGAGCGCAGAGGGGCATCAAACATGTGGCTTCTTAATGATCTCAGACTTTGTGTTAGCTTTAAGAAAAGGCTGGCCTGTCAGTTCACCCGTAAAGGTCAGTTCTGTTTTCTCCACCTGGGGTTGCTTAACATGTTTTTTTAATATAAATCAGCCAAGAGTTGATAGCCAAACACAGAAACAACTGGTAATAATCAAGAGCAGACCGCCGAGAGGCTGTAACTCCAATCCAGATAGGAAGGATGTGAGTGGAACAATGAGAGTCTTAAATCAAGGTGAGTGCTTTGATCATTTCATCAGTAACTCAATCAGACCACACACTCACACGCACACACACAATGGCAAACTTAAAACTAGTTCCAATTTTAATCCTTCATTTAAGTAAGAGTTAAAAAATGTCATAAAATACACTAATTTGCTCTTCTTCCAAGAGTTAGATGAACAAAACCACTTTTGTAAGCTAATCGCAAAGCCAGTTAGCTTAGCTTTAAGACTTGATAGAAAACATAGCCTGGCTCTGTCCAAAGGCCTCTAAATCTGTCTTCAATAACCTCTAAAGACAATTAAATAACTTATAACATTACTACTGTTTTATGTGGGGTCGTGTTGGAGTTTTTTGTGAACAGAGGGTAACCCTTGTTTTGCAAAACTTGCAGGCCCATGACCTTTCCCATACATAAACATTTGAGTTTTAAGCCGTTGTCATGAATTGTTATGCCATTTGAGTTTTATCATCTAGACACAATCTTTTACGAGGGGTTATACGCAGCACTATTTCTTGGCAGAGGATGCCATTCCTGAAGTTTCTGTTGTTTCCAGCATCAGGAAGTCATTCTCGGCCAAGAAATAGTGCTGGGTATAACCACAAATAAACTACAACTCATCTTTGTTGTGCTTGTACGGATGTGATATTAAGCTCTATCTTCCTGCTAAGATAAACTATACCTAGCTGGAAGACGCTTTATCTTAAACAAAGATATATGAGATTAGCATTCTTATGCAATTTCCAGCAAGATGGTGAATCAGCTTATTTCCCTAAAGTGTTGAAATCTTTTTTTTTTATACCTGAAAAAAGATTATCCGTTAAGATAATGTGCTTTCGTCTTTCATCATGTGCATGTTCTTGCGAAGACATTGGCAAGCTGCACACTCACACACCTCAAAGATAAACAGCTCTGGCATGTAATGCTGAAGTTCTAGACATGTTGCAACTAGTGTGCAGGAACAGGTGATTCAAGTCATAAGCTCCTACTCCTTACATTGGCTATCATGCTTGTTTTTTTTATCAGGAAACAGCCAGGTTTTTCAGAATGACTTGCAGCAGCTTTCAACCTAAGTGAGAGTGACATGAATGTGCTTCTTCTGTGGTTTTCTGTGAAGTGTGATGACAAGTTAATCAGCAAAATGGTTAGAAGAAAGTGACAGCAAGTGCTATTTTAATAATAATAATGAAGAATACAAATATTCAAAGGTGTTGGGACTGACGGAAAACGGAGATGCTGCATTGCAGGCAACATAAGATGTTCTCCTTGTCAACACTGATATCTGATAATATTCCAAAGTCAAACTTTCCGTTTGGATTTGGGCAAGAATAACCAGCTAAAAATTATCAGTTTGAGGGATTGTCACGGTCTGTCTGTGTTGTGTTTTGTCTGTCTCTGGTTTCCTGTTTTATTTTGAAAAGTGTTCACCCCCTGTCTTGTCTGTTGATTCCTGTCTCTGTGTTTGCCCTCCTGTGTCTGATTGTCTGATTGTGTTCACGTGTTGCCCTTGTGTTTCTGCCTCCCCTGCCCAGCTGTGTCTTGTCCTGTGATTACCCTTCTTTGTATTTAGTCTTGTCTTCCCCTGTGCTCCATGTTGGTTCATTGTTTGTTTTTCCCGTCTCCCTCCATGTGGATCACGGTTAGTTATTGTGTTGTTGTTCCCTTGTGCTACGTTTCGATTCATGCCATGTTTTGTTAATCAGCTTTTAAATAAAGCTCGCTTTTGTTTCTAGACCTTTTTACCTTTTGGGTCCTACCTTTTGGGTCCTACCTTTTCCCGAATCCTGACAGGGATACATTTCAACATTATTCAATTTAAAATGTCAGATGAGTCAGAGTTTTCCTTGTCTACACTAATACAATAGCCTACTTATTCCAAAGTCAAACACGACACTAGCTTTTGTTTTCAACGTCAAAACAAATGATGTATTTGTGTTATTGGGTGAGTAATGCTGATATAAGAGTATAGACAGAGAGCAGACAGATAAGTGTTTTAGATAAGACAGTCCTTCCTTCTCACTTTGGGCCTGATGGGCAGAGCCCTGGGCGGTTTCAGCAGAGGTTTCAAAACCTCCCTCTACTTGCAGTTTAAATCTGAAGGGAAAACCTCTGAGGTGTCATTGTGCTGTGTGAAGGAGCACAGACGCAGCGATGGAGTTCCTCTTCGTGTTTGTCTCCGCGGTTTTAATCAGTGTCATCAGTGCTGCTGGGATCGCTCATGATGGAATACACTGGACATACACAGGTATTTGTATTGGTAGACATTTCAAATCCTTTATCATGTTTTATTTATCAAATCAACTTTTACTCATTTAAACACCACATGTAACGTAAGTGCATGTGAGAGTTTTGGTGCGTAAAACGTATCCAATGCGTATTGTTTAGTATAGAAGTTGGTTAAACATTATATTATGCTATTTTTTTATTATTTAACATTCACGCGAGGCACTTGTCCGTTTGTTTAGAATCGCGCACTGCATTGGCTAAATGCTTTGGATAAGCACTGAGTCAATATTTGGCGTCAACTTTACAGCGCGGGAGTGCGAAATAACTTGGAGAGTGAATACTTTTGCGATTGGCACATTAACTGCCACTGTGCCACAGTATCCAGTCGAACAAGTCGTGTGCTTGTCAATACCACCAACATGTGAACGGGATTATTATTGACAAAGAGTTAATATAGTGCAAAAGTTCGAAAACTCCCTGATGTAATAAATGTAGTGTATTTTAAAATATGGTGACGGTTTCTTCTTGATTTTATTTGCCACAGAGGGAGCT